ATTTGGTACCTATGTTTTGAAATTTGTATCAATTCAATCCTATCCAGTTAACGGCGTTATAATTGATGCGAGAAATTAAGGACGTTAATGAAGATGCATTCAAACATTTGATAGCTATTCCACCCAGACTATCATTAAGGTCCTTAATTTCTCGCATCAATTATAACGCCGTTAACTGGATAGGATTGAATTGATACAAATTTCAAAACATAGGTACCAAATACCTACATTTTTAAAAGTGGGTACTAAACAGAAAATTACCTCCTAACATGGGACTAAGTAGGTAATTAAGCCAAATATTAAATATAGACATTAAGTAGTCTTACTAGAAAACTGCTCATTGTCGTATACCTAAAACTCTAATGATGTCTTATGATATCTGAGCTTTCAATTTATTGTATCAAAGCTTTTTATTAGTTCGAACATCATCAAATCAATAAAATAAATTTGAGCACCCGAGGTAGAAAGTAGCTATGCAACCAAGTTAAAATCATAAAAGTAATATAATGAGAATACTCTAATGTTAATCACTTAAATGAAGTACTCAATTAGTTACAGAGAAGAAAACTAAAATAATATAATAGGTTCATTGATATAACAACGAGGCGAAGCTCGTAATAAACAGACACTAGATATTACAATAAAAGTAAATACTAATAATTATCATATTGCAAGCATATCGCTCTTGTATAATTTTTAATGCACGCTTATGATAGTTTTATTGACGGTTTATACAAATTTTAGTAAAACAAAAATTCTCCTAATTTCTTCCCATAGAAGTATAAAATAATAAAATAAAAGGTAATTATAATCCCATAATACTAGTAAAGAGATGCTTATTAATCACATAATATTAAAGATAGCAACTACATCAATCCATCGACCGCCTAAATCCAAAAGCACACAGTAAAACATCCAATCAAACTGACAACATAGACATATTCCTTATTTAAAGCAAGAACCATATCCTTTTACATAATTCTCCTCTGCAACATGGATTATGAAATTTAAGAGCTGGGCTTCAGTGTCTTCCCAATGTCAATAACAAATCGATATTTGACATCTGCTTTGAGGAGACGCTCCATTGCCGTGTTTACATAATCTACAGGAATGATCTCGATGTCAGGCTGTATATCGTATTTGGCAGCATAATTAATCATCTCTTGAGTCTCCTTTATTCCTCCAATGCAACTGCCAGCTACACTCTTTCTTGCTGCAAACCAAACACAATATTTATCATAAACGTTATGAAACAAATTGTACGTCTTTAAGAAAAATAAAATATACTTTTTCATGAACTTATATACAAGTTAATTTTCCGTCTAATTTCTATTATATAAGTGTAATAATTTTTCATGTACATGCATACCTAGTATAGGAAAGATTGGAAGCTCCAAAGGATGATCGGGCAGACCAACTATGACAAGTTTCCCACCAGTCTTCAACAAATCAATCAGAGGGACCAGAGAGTGAACTGCAGACACTGTGTCTATTATACCATCCAGGGTGCCCTTTGCAGCCTGAACAGAAAAAATGGCCATTAGAAGTTAAACAATAACTTTTGCTTTTCCTCACAGGCACACAAAGTAAACCGTATTAAAAAACTAGAAATAATACAAAGCAGATTTTACAGCATATATCGTAAAATAATTGTAGAAAGGTTCAGAAAGGGAAAATTTAAGTACCTCCAACTCCTCTTGATTACGACTGACCAAAAATGTGTCAGCTCCAAGATGCTCAATAGCTTCCTTCTTTTTGTTTGGAGATGTGCTGATTACAGTGACCTTAGCCCCAAAAGCTTTGGCAAACTTAACCGCCATGTGGCCAACGCCACCAAGACCAACCACACCCACATGTAGGCCTGGTTTGCCAATTCCAAAATATCGGAGAGGGCTATACACTGTGATCCCAGCACATAAGAGAGGTGCAGCAGCCTCAAGAGGTAGACCGTCAGGAATGCTGATCACAAAGTGTTCGTCTACAACCACCAGATCAGAGTAGCCTCCTTGTGTGATGCTCCCATCAATATCCTTCCCTCCATACGTCAGAACCATTTTTGAACAGTAATTCTCAAGATTTTCATCGCAGCTCTTGCACGACCTGCAGGAATTAACCATGCACCCCACACCCACCCTATCTCCCACTTTGTACTTCTCTACCTTGCTTCCAACCTCTACCACTTCACCTGCAATCTCGTGCCTACATTTTGGTGCTTAAATTAGAATATACTATTCTATCATTAATTAACACTAATAACTTCTCGTTCATAAACAATATCATATTTTATTGGAAAGGTAGCTAATAATTTATTAAACAAATTGTCTACATCACATTAAAGTGTTTTTCTAAAGTAAATTTGTTCCATCATATGGTTACCTCACCCAGTAAAACATATCCAGTAAGTAAACCGGTCTAAACTTTTGCTCTCTTTATTTTCCAACTTACTGTTTAGCAGATCTACAACTTCATCTATACGGCAGATCTTATTGCTTGCATATTTTGCAATATATATATATATATATA